GAGTTTTCAGGACTATTCTGTGGAATAGCTGTTGTCCGACCTGTAATACAGATCATATTCAAAAGCATTTACAGTAGATGTACACATCCATTCAAAAGTCTGAGGTCAGAAAATAATACTTTTTTTTTATTCAGCAAGGACACATTAAATTATGGAAGCCCATTTCCACCACAGAGCAAAAAATTCTGAATTGTGAGAGAAAAAAAATCTAAGTCAGAATTACAAAACGTAAACTCAGAATTCTGACAGAAGATACAGATTTCAGTCTGTTCGTGTCTACGTGGACAGTTCATGTTCAGAATAAGCTGCCGAGTGAAGCAGACTTTCTGTTAGATCATGTTTCTGCAGACCTGAGATTGTGGACTGTAGGTCGTTCATGTTCTGGTCGAGTAGAGTCGAAGGCAGAAAGAAAGCGGGCTCGTCCTCGGGGGGCTGTGTCTCTGCTCTGCTACTGCCGGTCGGATCATCTTCTCCAAACACCTCACGCCATTCCTGTGAGAAACCCCTGTCCTCCAGAGAACTGCTGCCCAGGATCTCATTCAACAAACTCAAGCCATCCTTCTCCTGACCGCCAGAGAAAGTGTCATCATTTCCTGTATATACAGTGCAAAGTCACTGCTCAACAATGTTGAATTCAATTATTGTGTCCTATGGATAAAATTCAGTTTTTATGAAAGCTTTACCTGTTTGCATGAGGCTACTGCTCAGAGTTTCTTCTTCAATTGAAATAAGCCTGGAAGAGAAGACATAAGTGATTAGAGGTTAATATGTGACCCTGGAGCACAAAAGCAGTCTTAAGTCGCTGGGGTATATTTGTAGCAATAGCCACAAATACATTGTATGGGTCAAAATTATTGATTTTTCTTTTATGCCAAAAATCATTAGGATATTAAGTAAAGAGCATATTCTATGAAGATATTTTGTCAATTTACTACTGTAAATATATTAACACTTAATTTTTGATTAGTAATATGCATTGCTAAGGACTTCATTTGGACAACTTTAAAGGCGATTTTCTCAATTTTTTTTTGCACCCTCAGGTTCCAGATTTTCAAATAGTTGTCTCTCGGCCAAATATTGTCCTATCCTAACAAACCATACATCAATGGAAAGCTTATTTAAAAATGGACCCAGGGTTTTGTGGTCCAGGGTCACATATCACACATCAAAATAAAACCGAAATGAGGCTCCTACGTTTCATCTGTATTCTGACTCGTCTCCTCGTCTGCTTTTGCCTTCGTTTTCTTCTTGACCTTTTTCTTTGCAGCTTGATCTGAACCCTGGAGTATCAGACAGGACAGATGAACAGATTTGTTGGACATGCATCATAATATCACTGCTTGTTTGTGTAAACGAGGATGGGTGAATTTTTACTAAACTTAACAGTTTTTATTTGATCACAAATCTGAGGCAAAAGCCTATTTTGGGATGAATAATCAATAAGCAGCAGGTTCCTGTCGTGACAACTTGCCCCATATCATGTGAAAACATTTCCCTGCTACTGACAATATCAAAAGGATATCATAATTGAGAAGGGAGACATCCAAACCTCACTCTGTAGCACACACTACTATTCAAAAGTCTGGGGTTGCCGAGAGTCTCTTATTCTGACCAAGCATACATTTATTTGATCGAAAATAGGGTAAAAACTCAGAAAACAGTTCTTTTTGTTGTAATAATATTTCAATTTGAATATATCTTAAAATATAATTTATTGCTGTGATCAAAGCTGAATTTTCAGCATCATTACTCCAGTCTTCAGTGTCACATGATCCTTCAGAAATCATTCTAATATGCTGATATGCTGCTCAAGAAACAATTCTTATTATTATTAATTATGAAGACAATTGTGCTGCTTTATATTTTTATTGAAAAGTATGATCGTTCAAAAGAACATTTATTTAAGATAAAAACCTTTTGTAACTTTATGAGTCATTTTTGGTCAATTTCATGCATCCTTGCTGAATAAAAGTAAAATCTTACTGACCCCAAACATTTGAAAAGTAGTGTATTTTTC